ACCTTAAGGGGAAAAAAGCAATTCCAATATCCCACGGTGTGCCTTTGACTTGTGGCAGTAAAAATCCCCGTGATTTGAAACCTCTGGTGGAGTTCTTGTGCCTGGTGTTGCCAACCAATTTGGCATATGCCAGGAACTGAAGGATAGCAATAAATAAATGCATTAAGATGGGAAGATATTATCCTAGGTTGAGGAAGTCTGTAGCTGGTGTACAGATAACTAATAAATAATAATACTTTCTGGAAAACGGAGGAAATGAAGATGATTTTCTCTTATTTCACACATGCCTGTTACTGTCACTTTGCAAGCTTGTTTTGTTAAATTGAATCAGGATGCGTTCCTGCGTCCAATTGTGGCATTTTGAGAGTGTAGATTCAGTGGATTCGTGCAGAGTTTGGTACCTCACAAAGCAGTGGTACAATTGCTTCACCATGCACCTGCCTTACAGGGCAAATCACAATTACCCATGCCAAGATGCCAAAAACAGATTTAAATCAATTATTTAAACTAATCTACCCTGCTGAAGAGGCCCCCTGTAGCAGATTATTGGAGCTAAATGTGGGTTGATAGTCCGTTGCATACCAACCATTCACTTTTTTATGTTAGAGGTAGCTCCTAAAACTAAGTAGTAAATGTAGTACTATCCAGAAGTCACAGTAGTACAACGGACCATTGAGTTATTGAAGGGCACCAAATTGATTTTCCCCATTCTAAAGGCGTATAGTTTTTTCAGGATTGAAACCTAGAGAACAATAACTTTGTCCCAACTGTTTGCTAGGGGACACAACAGTTGGCACTGGCCATTGCCCCTGGAATTGGCCTGGATGGAGAGGGGAAGGAAGATCAGGAGTGGGTATTGGGTTAGCATTCTCTCCTGCCTGACCCCAGCTCATAACTCCCCATATTTGTTGGAAGAAGGTACAGGCTGAACACAGAATTCTTGTGTTTAAATGTGTTTGATCCCTTGCAAGAGAATGCCTGGTCACAAAGCGTTCAGCCTTCTGCCTGCTTTCAGTCTCATCCCCTTGATTAGAATCCTAGAAATACAACTGAACACACCTAGACCCTGCTTTTGGAGGCTTTTAAAACAACAATTTCTAAAAGTATGCACTGCTATTTGGGGAATTCCTTTTTACATGAGCTTTCTGGTGCACTGAAAATTTCTTGAAGTCTTAACCTTTCTCTCCCGCAAGGGGAAAATGGCAGAGAGGTGTTGAAAGGTGTCAGAAAGGAGACAGTCTCTTTTTTTCATGCTAAAACAAAGAACAGTCCTTGAAGGTTGAGTTTTTTCTTAAGTTCCTTGAAGAAACTAGCAGTCAGTCTGATCCAATTATAGCCATTCTAAATAGCTAGGAATTCTCATCTGAGTACACTTTTGTCAATGCTTGACGTTTCACTACAAAAATAAATAGCAATTATTGGGTTTGTGCCTGAAGAATTGTGCTCTCCTCTGGGATGTTTGAGCGATCAAAGCTGTATCAGCTTTTAAAATTTAAAGCTTATACCCTCTAATACACTGTATTATATGTATGTGTGTGTATTATGTATGTATGTATGTGTATGTGTGTATATATAAATAAAAATTCTGGGGCAACGCTCTTTCAAGCCTTTGCTTAATTTAATCCCTGATTATTAGACAAAAGCTTGTGTGTGCCAAACACAATCCGGAATATAGAAATGTATTGGCTTTTTCTACGAGTCTGATTAGCAGAAATGCACTGTAAGCAGACTCAAAGCCCCATCACCAATACTTGGTCAATCAGTAGCCTCTTTGTTATTATCAAGAGAGCCATTGTATGGTAGCATGCGCAGATATTTCAATCTTTGTTCTGTCTCACCTGATTTATTGCTACATTTGCACAAACCTTTTAACTCGTTAGTATTTTTTTTAATAAAACACATATGCCTCTTTTAAAAAATGAATAGCAATGGGAGGAGGATTAATTTGCACTTACTGAACCAAGACACGCACTGAAATGTAGTTATCCTTTGGAGTTGACACTTACCTAGATTTTGCAATGCGGTTCTCCAATCAAAAGAGCATAGAAAATGTCTGCATTAGTAAAAAAATGTATACAGAAATGTAAGATTTCAGGGGGAAATGCTTCAAAAATGGATACATCAGAATATATGCACGCAATTGTATATGAATTTTCATGTGCCAATGCAGAAACAGGATGGACTGAACTGAAGAATGGAAAATGAGAAATTGAGAGAAACCAAAATGGGCAGATTTCACCCATCCCTACCCCAAGGCTGTACAGCTGCAGTATATAGTCTGGGATGTGTGTACTGTTCTGCTACAAAAAAAGGTCTCCATACTGTGTTCAGAATACGGTATTTTTCACTTTGTAGGACGCACCCAACCATAGGACGCACCTTGTTTTAGAGGGGAAGAACAAGAAAAATTCTCTCCCTCTCTGCTCAGCGCCCCTTCAGTGAAGCGGCAGGAGAAACAGAGCCCCTTCCATTTCTCCTCCCACTTGGCTGAAGGGGCGCTGCGCAGCTCTCCCTCTCTGCTGAAGCCAGGAGAGTCTTGCTCTCCCGGCTTCAGCGAAAGGAACCTGAAGCCTGTGGAGCGCAGCGGGTACTCGCGCTGCGCTCTGAAGGCTTCAGGCAGCTATCCCTGAAGCCTGGAGAGCGAGAGGGGTCGGCGTGCACCGACCCCTCTCGCTCTGAAGGCTTCAGTGAAAGCAACGCAAAGCCTCTGGAGCGCAGAGGGAGCGCTCCCTCTGCGCTTCGGAGGCTTCGCGTTGCTATCGCTGAAGCCAAGGAGCCTGCATTCACTCCATAGGACGCACACACATTTCACCTTAATTTTTGGAGGGGAAAAATTGTGTCCTATAGAGCGAAAAATACAGTATGTTGTGCCATGCAAATACATTTTCATATATTGTTATCAGTTGTCAATTTCTGTGTTCTATGTGACGAACACATTTTGTGGGAAATGTGTGAGTAAGTTTGGAGATGAACTAAAAATTCATAACAACATAGGAGTCTTGGTAGCCCGATTTGATCCAGCAGTCTGGTCAACCAGATGTCCACGGGAAGATACAGATGAGTATGGGTACAGTGGCATTCTGATCATAAACCCCAGTGCCTAGTGTTCAGAGACATGCTGCTCTGATGCAGGAGATGAAATATGGTCATCATGACAAGTAGCCATTGATAGCTTTTACGGGGAGCTAGATAATTTCATGGAGGAATAAGGCTATCTAAACTGGTAGCAAATTCCAGAGTTTAACTAAGTGTGAAGAAACACTTCCTATCATCTCCTGAATCTCTTGCTGTTCAGCTTCATTGAATGACTCGAGTCTCCTATTTTGTGTGTATCTGTGTGAGAGATGCTACCTATCCACTTTCCCCACATCATGCGAATACATCATTATCCCCTCTCCCCATATTCATCTAAAAAGCTCCAAATGTTATAAGCATTCCTCAAAGGGAAGTTGCTCTTGCCCCTTGGTGAATTTGGTTGCCCTTTTCTGCACCGCAGGCAGAGAGTGGGACTCCAGATACTTTTTATAAACGGCTCAGGGCCGCAATGCCTCAAGGACCGCCTCTTTCCATATGAACCTAACCGAACCCTTCTGATGCCCTCCTTCGTGTGCCTCCTCCTCGAGAGGTCTGGAGGAAGACAACACGAGAACGGGGCCTTCTCTGCACTGGCTCCCCGTCTGTGGAATGCTCTCCCCAGGGAAGTTCGCCTGGCGCCTTCATTATACACCTTTAGGCGCCAGGCAAAACCATTCCTTTTTAACCAGGCCTTTGGTTGATTTGATTGACATCCGATGCCCTTTTAAAATGTGGAGGGTTTTTTTTTTGGCGGGGAGGCTATTGGGTTGTTGTTTTTATTTTGATTCTATATTTTATGGTTTTGTGTTCTGGTTTTGTTCTGTGAGCCACCCTGAGACTCCGGGTATAGGGTGGCGTATAAATTCAATTAGTAGTAATAATTCTAATAAGTACCGTATTTTTCGCCCTATAGGACGCACTTTCCCCCCTCCAAAAATGAAGGGGAAATGTGTGTGCGTCCTATGGGGAGAATGCAGGCTTTCGCTGAAGCCTGGAGAGCGAGAGGGGTCGGTACACACCGACCCCTCTCGCTCTCCAGGCTTCGCGCAACTCTCCGCAAGGCACGGGAGCCTGGCGCTGGGCTCCCGCGGCTTGCGGAGAGTTGCCTGCATGCTGAAGCCTGGGTGCGCTGAGCTCAGCGTGCCCAGGCTTTGCGCAGCTCTCCGCAAGGTGCCGGGCTCCCACGGCTTGCGGAGAGTTGCCTGTTCTGGGGGCTGGGGTCGGGGGAAGCTTGGGCTTCCCCCGCCCCAGCCCCGCGCCTGGGGGGGAAATAATTCCCCCCCCAAAAAAACAACAACTAGGTGCGCCTTATGGGACGGTGCGTCCTATAGGGCGAAAAATATGGTACTTTTTTCTGGGGCCCCTAAACATTTTGTGAATCTATAAGTTTGGCCTCATTGAGGGTCCGTATTTCAATATGAATAGGAAACTGAGAGTACCCTTAAATTATTTTTTTTAGAAAAAAATCCTGATTCTAATAATTATAAGTATGTAGTGCAACTGAAACAAAGCTTCCTAATATATTTCTAATATGCTTAGTATGCTTCCTAAGTACTTGAGGTGCTACTGTGAAATTTAATGTATGCCTTGCTTTTAAGGTTCTGTTCAATTGCTCAGCTGTCTGTAGGCACTTCTGTATTATACAAAGTCATATTTGAAATACTAATGTCAAAACATATAGTGTGCTGCTCGTAGTAAATGTCCCCGTGTCCCTGTGTTATTTCTGCTTTGAGATCACTTGAGAGGCAAAAGCCAGGCACTTGCCCTGTTAAAGTCTGGTTAATCAGACATGGCTGTCATTCCAGAAACGGGTGGTAGGGGGAAGGTGTCTGTATTTGCAATCTAATTTTCTATGACTACTGCAAAGCATCCACGAAGGCATGGAACTTGGTGAACCTTAACGTTTCCCTTCTTTCTTTGCTCAGCTGACGGGATTGAGTGTCTCCAATGGAAAAGACCAGCTTGCAGTTTTCCACACAAAGGACAACAAGGACCTAATTGTGTGCCTCCTCAGCATGCATCCAGTCAATGAGAGCAAGATCGGAGAGTTGATTGGAGTCCTGGCAAATCACTTCAAAACGTGAGTTTGAGTACACATCACCAAGTCTTGCTTTGGCATAGCTTTTGACTCCATTTCTGTAAACATATGGCTATCTCTCTAGAGTCTGACTCCTCAGGGCTTGCACAAACCTGTATTTTGACCACGTAAGTAGTTCTTTTTGGCTACCCAACAGATGTGTCAACTGTAAACCATGCATCTGTATGTGCTTCAGGTTTGACTGTGTAGGGCCAGAATGAGTGCTGATAGTTGTCTGGAAAGAAGCAGTATTTGGTCTCAGCTCGTCTGTGCCCTTTAATTCCCAACAGGCTATTCCACTGCGCCTTCTATTTTCCACTTGCACCCACTAATTATGTGTATAATTTTAAAAGCACTCAGCTTTTGTCGCAAAGTTCTTTCACACCCAGAATCATTTTGACTTGATTAACAATAGCTGCTACTACAGCGGCTCTCCCGTTTCTTACTCATCCTAGCTTTCCCTTAATCAGGCATGGCCAAACTTGGCCCTCCAGCTGTTTTGGGACCACAACTCCCATCATCCCTAGCTAACAGGACCAGTGGTTAGGGATGATGGGAAGTGTAGTCCCAAAACAGCTGGAGGGCCAAGTTTGACCATGCCTGCCTTAAGTGAATTCCCTTAAAAGGTTCAAGTTTGAAATATGACCAGTTTTGGTCAGTACAAGTTGGTGTCTACTACATTGTTAATAGAGTTCAATATAATATGTTGTTATGGATGGAAATCCAAAATGGTCCTTCTTGTTGCAAAGTGGAGTTTGGTCTCCTACATCTTTGACATGGTTTCATAGTAATCTACTCTTTATTAAAACATACCACAGGAGCCCAGTATAACTTATGTGGAACCTTTTGCTGAACCTCGTCTCAAATTTAAATTAGTAGCAAATACTCTGATATTTGGAGGGACGCGGGTGGCGCTGTGGGTTAAACCACAGAGCCTAGGACTTGCCGATCAGAAGGTCGGTGGTTCGAATCCCCACGACGGGGTGAGCTTCCGTTGCTCAGTCCCTGCTCCTGCCAACCTAGCAGTTCGAAAGCACGTCAAAGTGCAAGTAGATAAATAGGTACCACTCCGGCGGGAAGGTAAACGGCGTTTCCGTGCGCTGCTCTGGTTCTCCAGAAGCAGCTTAGTCATGCTGGCCACATGCTGGAGCTGTACGCCGGCTCCCTCGGCCAATAAAGCGAGATGAGTGCCGCAACCCCAGAGTCAGTCACGACTGGACCTAATGGTCAGGGGTCCCTTTACCTTTACCTTTACTATGAGTGCCTCCTTCCAATTCACTGAGGTTTCCCCACTCCAGAATATACCATTGGGTGTGGGAGAGAATATCACGTGAAGCAAGCTTTGACACATGTCTCAGTCCAGTGCTTGAGACCTGTGGTAGATGCTCTGTCTGTGTGATTTGTGCCTCCATAGTTGTATAGGATGTTAGGGGAGCAGGTAGTACTTCTGGTGGGGGACATGTCATGTTCCTTCTGGGGTAGTTTGTCCACCTTTGGTCACCACCCTGCACTCAGCTCTCACCTGTGGTTCCTAGAAGCTGTCAGCATGTGACAGCATCCCCAACCTGGGAGTGGCTTTGGCTGGTCAACTAAACCAGGTGAGGGTAGCTGATGAGTCTCAAACCCTCAGTGAGTTAGTGACTTCCCCTGCATGCAAAGACAGGCTCCGGCAGATTAAGCAGATGGGGCCATTAATGGGTCCAACAGTCAAGAAGGTGGTTTCCGCACATGCTATAGAAGGAAGTAGGGGCTTTTCAACCAGGGAAGGTGGCATATCTAGGAGAAGGAAAACTCTGGTCCTAAACTTCTGCTGCCTTGTGGGATATTTTTGGGAAAATAAAAGACTAAGGAGTAAACCCTACACAAATCCGGAGTGGAGTCCCTAAGACGGTTGGATGGTGTCTTGTATGCCTCTTTTTGGCAAATCCTGCAGCCAGGCTGCTGCCAAATGTATTGCTCTGCTTTCCTTTGGACCGTATCACCAAGGCCAGAGGGGAGGCTTGTCGTCTGGGCCACCCACGACCTCCATACACACCGCCTAGGTTTGTGCCCCAGAGAGATGCTAACACAGTGGTTTGACTTCACCCCTGGAGGCGCACTCCTTTGTCTCTTGAGACGATAGATGCCAACAAGTTTGTGCTGCAGGAAATTATACAGATACCCAGTAGAGGGCGCTAGTGAGGTGGGAGAAACTGCAATGATGGGAGCTTGAGATCTACTAGTTCCTGACTTTCTTGATTCCAGCTAGCCTAGTGCCTTTAGCCTTTACCTATTAATTTACTATGGCATAATTCAAGGTGTTGTTGTTGTTTAGTCATGTCCGACTCTTCGTGACCCCCTGGACCAGAGCACACCAGGCACTCCTGTCTTCCACTGCCTCCGCAGTTTGGTCAAACTCATGTGGTAGCTTCAAGAACACTGTCCAACCATCTCGTCCTCTGCCACCCCCTTCTCCTTGTGCCCTCCATCTTTCCCAACATCAGTGTCTTCTCCAGGGAGTCTTCTCTTCTCATGAGGTGGCCAAAGTATTGGAGCCTCAGCTTCAGGATCTGTCCTTCCCGTGAGCAGTCAGGGCTGATTTCCTTAAGAATGGATAGGTTTGATCTTCTTGCAGTCCATGGGACTCTCAAGAGTCTCCTCCAGCACCATAATTCAAAAGCATCCATTCTTCGGCAATCAGCCTTCTTTATGGTCCAGCTCTCACTTCCATACATCACTACTGGGGAAACCATAGCTTTAACTCTACGGACCTTTGTTGGCAAGGGGATGTCTCTGCTTTTTAAGATGCTGTCGAGGTTTGTCATTGCTTTCCTCCCAAGAAGCAGGCGTCTTTTAATTTCGTGACTGCTGTCACCATCTGCAGTGATCATGGAGCCCAAGAAAGTAAAATCTCTCACTGCCTCCATTTATAATTCAAGGTATAGTTCAGTAAAACCATCTCTCTGGTCGTCTCACACAGAACAATATTTGCTTCAGTCAATAAGCCTTAGTTGACCTAAGTCAGTGTTGGCCAACATTTATCCTCCAGACCAGACAGTGGTCCTCCTGGAACCAGGAGTTTGCAAACTGACCCCCTTACATGTGTCCATGGTCAAGCTCCATAGTTAAGTTGGTGCCATCAATAATAGCTTCGCTGTTATGAAGGCATGGCTGGAGCATGGCACAGGAACAAAGGAAGTAGCCTTATACTGAGTCAGACCCATCTAGCTCAGTGTGGTTGGCACTGACTGGCAGTGGCTCTCCAGGATTTCGGAGAGGAGTCTCTCCCAAGCTTAGCTGGAGATGCCAGGGTTGAATGTGGGACCTCCTGCTTGCAAGACAGATGCTCAACCACTGAGCTACAGCCCTTTCCCATAAAAACATTCCAAAATGAAATATTACTTGAAAGCATAGATAGACTATCTTACGAATTAAAAAAGTTTAGCCAATCAATTTCCTGAAAAGAGAGTAGCATTGAAAGATATTGATTAAGGAAGCCTGTGGCGCTGTGGGTTAAACCACAGAGCCTAGGACTTGCCGATCAGAAGGTCGGCAGTTCGAATCCCCACGACGGGGTGAGCTCCCGTTGCTCTGTCCCTGCGCCTGCCAACCTAGCAGTTCGAAAGCACGTCAAAGTGCAAGTAGATAAATAGGTACCGCTCCAGCGGGAAGGTAAACGGCGTTTCCGTGCGCTGCTCTGGTTCGCCAGAAGCGGCTTAGTGATGCTGGCCACATGACCCGGAGCTGTCTGCGGACAAACGCCGGCTCCCTCGGCCAATAAAGCGAGATGAGCGCCGCAACCCCAGAGTCGGCCACGACTGGACCTAATGGTCAGGGGTCCCTTTACCTTTACCTATGACAGTATCAGGAGGGGAGGAAAAATAGGGACCACAATTGAGAAACAAAACAAATCTCTGATTTGATGGACCCATCTTCCAACTACCCTAATAATGTGGATTTCACTGAGCTTTGCCACACCTGTGGTGGGGGTGAGGAGATTGTTTCCACTGCAGCTGCTCTAGAAGCCCTTCAGCAGCCAAAAATATTTTCAGCAATTTGCTTAATGGAAACAGTGGAATGCAAACCTCCACTCCCTTAAAAGAAAGGGGGGTTCATATTGCATAGCAACTCCAGACAGAAATGCTTTTTGTCCCTCTTTCTTCTACAGTCAAGTTTATTGTGCTTTTCTGAACTGGGGTCCTGATGCTTAATTTATATCTTGCAGCACTTAATTGCTATGTCCTGTTGCCTGCTTTGAGAGCATGTAATCCCAGTGTACATAAGTAATGCACAATTAAAATGCTTTAAAGATTTTGAAGTTGCCCCACCCAATCCAAGGGCTCAGGCTCATAACCGTGTCCCTGATTACTGTCCCGAAGGCTTGCAAACTTAAGAGCAAGAAATAATGAAAGTAGGGAATAGTTGGAGAGACAAAACATAAAATCTAACGGGATACATGCATTTCTACACTGATGGAGTGTGTGGAGAGGTAGGCCAGCTAGATTGAACCAAGGTATTAAGCAAACAATGAGTCCTATTCACTTCATGTGGCACCCTAGTGGATGTGGTGAGAAAATCACTGTGTTGGTGCATCATGCCAAACCATGGTTTTGTGTAATGTGCAGAGGACACAGTGAGCCTCAGGCTCCTGCACTCCCCTTTCCTTCTCTTCCTACATGGTCAGGAGAAGGACTTGGGGAGCTTTTATTTTCCATTGCCCTTAAATGCATCTGTTTGTTTCATTTGAACTGATGAGCATGGTTTCGCGCCATGATCAGTTTTAAAACAAGCCAACTTCAGGCCATGGTTTACGGAGCTGACTTGTTTCAAGAAAACCTAGTTAGTGTAACCCACGATCCCCAGTACAGATGAAATGACAATGATTTATGGGAATCCAAATGTAAAAGTTGTTGAAATCCTCCTCCTGACTATACAGGGAGAGAAGTGTGTATTGGAGTGGCAGGGAGTGAACAAGCGTTGAATATTGCTACAATTTATGCGTCTCACTAAAACCATGGTTTAGT